TGCCTAAGTATTTGCATCTGGCTTAAGATCACCAAGGCTGACCGGGAATTTGGAACTGGACTCTGAACTGTATTTCTAAGAGAGCAGGTAGATAACGTCCTACCAAGAGAACTACAGAAGCTTGGGAATGCGGGGCAGGAGCTTCACTTCTGCTGATAGCAGACAAGATCCAGTAGATTAATAATTGCTTGTTGTCCAGGGTAGCTATAGGAGGTGACTCACAGAGAGTTCCAATAGCACACAAAAGAAGGAACTTTATCTCATTCTCTCTACCTCATATCCTCTTTCCTTAAAAATTTCAGTAGAAAATAAAGAATCTAGGCATTTTAGCAAATGAATGAGAAAGAGCAACGTACCAATTTAATTCACTTATTTTGGCCTTCAGTGTTTTCGTTGTGTAGATGTCGTGTTAATTAGAATTAATTCCAGTAAGAGGTAAAGGAAGATTAACTAGGTTTCATTTATGCAATTTTTCTAATTGTCACCTCCCATGGTCTTTTGAAATATTATGTTCCAAGCTATTATAATTTTCTAAATTGCATTTTAACACATTTTTGGGGAGAAGACTTTGATTTAAAAGTATATACCTGTTAAACAATGAACTAATAAAACATCATATAAAAAAGAATCTATCAAATAGTCTTCTGACTGCACTTATTTATCAAGCCATGAAATTAAAATAAAAATACATGATTTCAAGACATTCATAAGTATTTATGACTTAAGATTAGTAGAAATGGTGAATGTCGTTTTAAAGTGTTAGCATCAGCAAATCTGTGTGGGTCTGCAAGATCCTCAATTCTTGCCTTCTCAGAAGAAAGAATTCGACTGAGGGGCATAAGGCAGAGTGAGAAACTGAGGCAAGTTTTAGAGCAGGAGTGAAAGTGTATTAAAAAGTTTTAGAGCAGGAACAAAAGCAAGTAAAGTACACTTGGAAGAGGGCCAAGTGGGCTACTTGTGAGATCAAGTGCAGCGTTTGACCTTTGACTCGGGGTTTTATGCGTTGGCATACTTCCAGGGTGTTGTGTGTCTTCCACCCTGATTCTTCTCTTGGGGTGCACTGTTTGCATGTGCTGTGGCCTGCCAGCACTTGGGAGGGGTCACATGTTCAGTGTTTACTGGAGTTGTATGCATGCTCACTTGAGGCGTTCTTGCCTTACCAGCCAAGTGTTCCTAGAAGAAGATTAGGTACCACTTAAACTGTGCCATTTTGCCTTAGTTCACATGCTTGAGCCCACTCACCTAACTCCTGAGATGTCATCAGGAAGCTGCTGATCACCAGTTTCAGGTGTTTCTGTCTATTGGGAGATCGCCTCTCCTGGTGCCAGCTGTGACCAATTATTATTGTAGCCAGACAGTTTGACAACTGCCTGATCATCACCTGATGGCCTCCTGACATGCCTGGTGGGAAAGGCCCTCTTCTGTCCTGCTCATGTCTGACTATCTACCTACTCTAACAAAAATAAGGAAAAGTGTATAAAGGGAAAAGGGCATAACTCAGTAATTGTTCTAAATTATCCTAAAGTTCTAAAGACTAGCCCCAAAATACCTCAGAGCTAAAACCCCTCTGAAACCCCCTCCTTAGCAAAAACTCTTAACTTTTTACACCTATAAATATTTATTAAGAATTAAGATGTATTTCTTAATACAGCTCCAAATTTATAATCAAACAAGGAAATACCGACAGCTGTTTACAGATATTCCCTAAACAAGAGCCATGAATGAAATCCATTTGAAGCGGCTACTGCTGTCTGTGGTATATACCCTGGGGTTCATTGTCACGCACTGAGAAAGAATTCAGAACACAGACACATGTGGGTGGGTTAAGGAGCAGAAAGTTTAACAGAAGAAAGGAGAGAGGAGGGGAGAGCAGCTCCTTATGAGCAAGAGATATGTGGAAAATGGAGAAGGCAGAGGACCGCAGCAGATTTTATAGGCAGGCTGGAGAAGGTGGTGTCTGATTTACAGAAGGCTCACAGATTTGTTCAATTAGGTATGACATCTACATAGTGTGCTGGGAAGGCTAGTTGGCCCACCCTAATCTTCTTATGCAAATGGACTGTCCAGTTGATTGGCACCATCTTGTCTGCTCCTTTACAGTACAGGTGGCTAGCAGAGAAGGGAAGATGGGACCGCCATCTTGAATATCTTTAGTGCTTAGTTCCTGCCGGCATTCACCTGTGCAAGCTCCCAGCTTGCAGGCTACTCTGTTGGAAAATTAGCTGGGGCTGCTTTTCATTAAAAAGAAAAGCCTTACCAAGGACTCCCATACCCTTACTATCTGCCTAAGTAATTGCTTCTTAACTCTTATATCACATTCAGTACATTGGAAGTAGAAATGTAAAACAGAATAATTTTAACACTTATCTCTTGATACTCTTTAAGATGTCCTTTTATAGACAAAATAAATTTTTTTAAATTTATATTCCCATCTCTGCATTTTAAATATGTTGTTTATCTGTGGTGGGGGTTTTTGTGGAGAAAGCAGGCAGGGGAGTGAAATGGAAGAACTCGGTCCCTTAACAGACCCACAACAGCTACGGTCTTAAATCTAAAACAAGTACTGGCCCAAGGGTGGGGACCAAAAACCCCCAACCATCTTAGTTCTGGTTTCAGCTGTCCAAGGCAAGGCCAGATCTACACATGGGCCAAGAAGATAGAATGGTTTATAAAGTGCCGCAATCAATGATGGAGACAAACAAGATTACCCAAACAAATGACACCTGTCAAGATAATTCAGTTTGTTAATTTTACTAGCTAATAATCCTCCATTACAGCTTTATATATGGGAGACAAACCAGTCTCATCTGTATGACATAATCAATCAATTATAAAAGTCACTATGTGAGCTTTGGAGTACTGAAAGATCTCCCCCAGGCTTTGCCTTCACCTGAAATCATAAAATAGATATATAAGTGAGATTTCAGACAAGCTAAACACAATGTAGTTTGAGAGACTGGACTCTCAGGAGCTCAGAGGAGCCACAATTTGCAGCTCTGAAGCACAACTCGCCTGATTTTCAGATGTGGCTGTAGGCTCTTAGTTACACCCGTGCAGATCACTTTATCTGAACTCTAGGGAATAAATGAATGAATTCAGTTAAGCCAATTGCTCTTGTCTCTGGCGTTAATCAAATCCCAGGCCATGCTAATGGGATCCATCTCATTCAACACACGCTCTTATTCCATTCACAAAGTGCTGTTGCCCACAACACCCTGGCAGCTGTTTCAAGTTAGGGGAGTTTTCAAAGTATTTGAAGGGGACAAATAGGTTACTTCCAATTCTTGACTTTCTTATTTAGTCTAGTATCTTGTAAGAAAGATACTTTGTGAAATCATTCTACTGGTAAAAGTATATATCATCAAAATTAGCAGGCATACCTATAGCAGGTTCACAGATTAAACAGAATGCCCTTTACACAACTATAGTCAATATGGGTTGTTCTTTTAATGTTCTAAGGCTGTGTCCACCGAAATCCTGCATCTTGCATTTGTATTCCTGGTCTCTCAGGGATTGTTTGGTTCTGTTGTTCTTTATTTCTAACACTATCACTAGATCCAGCAGGCACTGTGGAGCACGTATTACACATACTACACATATTACACATACTCTTATCTTCTGTATATGGGATATATGACTCAGAAGTAACAGCAAGTCAGATTAAACCTCTTAGGGAAAATCAACAGCAAATACAAGCTCACAGGCTGTGTGTACGGTTGACTTGTACATGACTTTGGATGCAAATTGACACAAACACCTCTCCATATTACAGTCATTTTTAGAGGGCAGGCAACATTCTTGGAGGGACCTGAATTGCTAGGTAATTAAAATGTATGTATGTAGAATAAAATAATCTTGGAAATAAGAGATTTCCATAAGCGTTCTCTCTAAAATAAGGTCACGTTCTTTGAGGTAGAGATTCTGTGCCTTGTGGAAGGAAAGCCACTTCATAAAGCAGCACAAGAATAGCCAGTTATTGAAAGGGCTATTATAAAATTACTAGCCAATGGTATTTGCTGCTCTTACAATTTGTCAATCCATTCATCCCTAGGAAAAAGATAGCATAAAAGAGAGGTCTGTTCATAGGTAGAAGCAGTTTGTGGGAACGCTTTGGAAATGTAGAACCATTGTTTTTGATGACCATAAGAAAAAAAAAGGGTGCAAGAGGGCAGCACTATGAAGGGCCCCTGGAATAACAGCACAAAGCGAGTTAGATTCAAAGAGTGGAGTAGACCTTTGTCTAAGGGGCTTATCCTGACAAATTCAACTTTGAAGGCAGCCCGGGTCATTCTTGGAAGAGGCTATTCTTTGTCTCCAGTGACCCCAGAGACACCATATAAAGGTGGGGTGATGATGCCGCAGCCGGGACCAGGTCCCAGTTGCGGTGGACAGGACAGAAGGGACTGGATGGGGCAGCAGGCTGGGGCGCCACCAGGTACAAGCAAAGCCCAGGGATACGGCCCCTCTCCGTCCCGGCTGCTCGCTGCGCCCCCTCCGGGCCGTGCAGGCTCCGGCTCCCGCGCCGGGGCTGCCTCTCACGGATTTCATCCTGGTGGGAGGCAGTGCCCAGAGCCTCTTTTTCCTTATCTCACAAAACCCTAAAAGCCAAGCCCCTACAACCAGCAGACAAAACTGCTCCCCGAGCTTCGGCTCTTTCCTGCTTTCCAGGCGTGTCTCCGGCAATAACTTACTTAGTGGCACGGGGAGAAAGGTGGGGACTGGGGGGTCGGGAGCCGAAACCCAAAAGATTCCCCCAGCATGGAGCACCCACGTTTCCAGTGTCATGTTGGAGAGGCGGGGGATGCTTGTTGGTTTGTGCCTAGCCCACCCCCACCAAGCCCGGTCCTCGGCGCGCTGAGACGCTAGCGGGTGTGGGCGGCGGGCTGGGCGTCTCTTGGTCTGTGGCTCTGTCCTGCCCGCCCCCGCCCCTTCCTCCCGGACCGCGCCGGCGCTGTGCGGCCTTTTCCCCAGCACGCGGCGCTGCGCTCGCTTTTATCTTGGAGCCGCGTCGCTTCGTGCGCTGCCAGCGGGGTTGAGCCAGTCGGCTGGAATTGAGTAGCATTCATTGAATCTGCGGATTTCATGACGTCTCTCTGCGTGGTCCATCACTTTTCTCCTAACCGGGGATTTTTTTTTACTTCTGCCACTCTTATCTTTCCCCGCTTCATTCCACCCAGTCTCCCTCCCCCGTCCCTGCCCAAACGCGTGCCCCTCCGCCCCTCCTTTGGCCCCGGTGCCCAGCCCTGCTCTCCGCGCTCGGCCGGAGGGAGCCAGTCCGGAGACGGCTGCACCTGGCTGGAGAGGCTGGGCGGGCGGAGGGGTGGAGACCCGCGGGCGCCGGGAAGCCGGACCTGGAGCAGGAGCAGCTGCGAGCAGAATGGAGTCTCCTAACAGCCTCTCGGGGCTGATGTGAAATTTGACCACCTGATTCCAGTTTTTTTCTTTTCCTTTTCTTTTTTGCATTTCCTTCCCTCGCCATCCGTCGTGTAGTGAATTGTTCAGTCTTGCTCCGTTTCGAGAGAGGAGATCATGATTGAGTGAAGCCACCCCGTCCGCAGCCAGGTAAGCGGTGCGCTGAGCTGATCGCAGGCGAGGAGCTGGCGTCCACCTGGGCGAGGCGTTCCGTGCTCTCGGGTCCTCGCTTCCCCGCGTCCCCTTCCCCAGCTCCGCCGTCGCCCCAGGCATCTCCACTCTCATGAGAAACATTGTACCCAAGTCAGCCGAAAGGCTAGGGAGAAGCCGGTTACATAACAGAAGGGGAATCTGTTTCATACGGTTTTCATTAGCGACTGAAACTCGCACGGGGGGCGGGGGGAGGAGGGGTCTGCATCCTTGGGCTTGCAGAAACCCAGTCAGTTATTGCAGACATCATTTCAACATCCGCTGGCAAAGACGAAATGCACTGATTAACTGGCAGGGGCGGCTTGTGGTGTAGTCATTTACAGTTGGGAAAAGCCCATTGTCTTTGTGGAAGGCAGTCTTCTTGTTCTGCTTTGCATGGAGAGGAGACAACACGAGAGGGAGGAAAAGTGAGGGTTGGGGACAAACATGCGGAGAATGGGAAACAGAATACTGTAACTCCTAACTGTTCTCTATCCGTAAAACCGAAGATGTGATATGAATCACATATCGAAGTGAATAGGAAGATCTCCCTAGGAGTAAACTGAATTATTTTGTAATTGGAAGGGTAGAAAAGACGCTTTAGATAAAATGAGATGTGTGTGGCATATAGGGGACTGGATGGCTGTGGATATTTGCTTCCCTGTGGATATATTTTCATTTTCATCAAGACATTAAGCTTGGATTAGTTTTTAAGTGAAATAACATCAGTATTCCCAATACCCAATAAAAGCCCAGTGGATCCACAGGTACATGTGTTGTACTAGGTGCAATATGGAGAGATTCTCAGGAGAAAAATATATCTTAATAGAAACAGCCACAGAGATAGGGTGAGGTTAGTGGAAAAACAAAATACCAGAATTTTCCAAAGAATTCCGCCTCCAAAAAAAAAAAAAAGGAAGAGAAAAAACAAAACAAAACACCACTACTCCAGTGTTTGGGAGTTGGAGATGTATTATATGTTTAGAGTGTTTCCCAACTGCTGTTATCCAAAGTCTGTCGGTCCCGGGGAGCCCCACGGTACCGGGGGCAATGCCACATCCTGCTAGCCCTGTTCCTTGCCTGCCTTTCTTTTGCTGAAAAAAAACGGAGAAAGGTGATGTCCAGGAACTGCTTAGGGAGAAAAAAGGGCTTGCTACCGTCAGGGCTGAGCTAACTGAGCTTCGCCCATTTTGCCTGGAGAAAGAGAAAGAGCTCGAGTCTCCATGGCGACCCAGGTGGGAGGGAAGACCGCAGCTCCAGTTACAGGGGAAAAAAATTGGACAAAACTTTCCCGGCTCCAGGCAAGGGAATAAGCCAGCCACGTGCCCTGTGGCGGGTCCCAGGGCATCAGTTGTGCCCAACTCCCTGACGGCGACGCTCGAGAGGGCGCCCAGAGCTGGTCGGTGTCCCTCAAACCTCCCGTAAGTTGCCCGGGGGCCGCCGAGGTGGTGGTTCCCGAGCGGGTTCCGGATTCAGCACCAAGGCCAGAGCCCAGGAGCCGCGGTTGCAGCCTCACCGGTCTGCAGCCCCCAGCGAACGGTACCCACTTCTTGGTCGCTGGAGGTCAATCACTTTCTATAAAGAAACGAGTCTTTGGCTCGTGCAGAATCTGGATATCAAATTACCCACGGAATTACGTGAGGCAAAGAAGCTTGCAAATCATCCATTTTATGCATGGCGGTGCATCGGGGAAACTATTCAGAATCAAGAACACTGGGACAGGGAAAGACCTGAGCTGAACTGAGAGTGGAGACAGAATTCCGTCCTCAGGGGGAGAAAAAGGACGTGCGCGCTCACAGACAGACACAGACACAGACAGACACACACACACACACACACTCTCACACACACTGTGATCCGTCCCTGACGAGGGTTGCTAGTTTCAGCTGAGTCCCTTTGGCTTTCAAAAGCATGCATCCCTTGCCCTCTCATGCTTCTCTCTTTAACTTTTTGTTGGGCATAGATGGCAGAAGGGAGCTGTGGAAGCACCCTGGTCAGCGAGAGGCCAGCCAACCAAGTTCGCTTGTTCGTTCGTGCTTTCTTTTTTTCTTTTTCTTTTTTTTTTTTTTTGAGATGGAGTCTCGCTCTGTCACCCAGGCTAGAGTGCGGTGGCTCTATCTTGGCTAACTGCAAACTCCGCCTCCTGGTTTCAAGCAATTCTCCTGCCTCAGCCTCCTGAGTAGCTGGGATTACAGGCGCGCACCACCACGCCCAGCTAACTTTTGTATTTTTAGTAGAGATGGGGTTTCACCATGTTGGTCAGGCTGGTCTCGAACTCCTGACCTTGTGATCCGCCTGCCTCAGCCTCCCAGAGTGCTGGGATTACAGGCGTGAGCCACCGTGTCCGGCCCAACCAAGTTCTTTCTAAGGGTCCTAGGACTCAAGAGGGTGGAGAAATAGTTTCCTCTCAGTCTAGACCTGGAAGAAATCAAAACGACACTGGTGAGCTCCCAAAAAGGAGAGAGAGTGTGTTAGCAAGATGAGAGCCAGTGATCACATCTTCAAGCCTGTGTGTGAGCAAGGTGGCTACATTTCCTAGGTTGCAGGCATAAGAAACCGAGAAACCGAAAGGAGTCTCTTCTCTTAATACAAACAAGGAAGAAACTGCAGGAGGGGAGGATTTATTACCATTCCAGTTCCATTTCAACATTTATACAGGGAAAACAGGTAAGTCCATCAAGCCCTCTGCTCTCACTTTACCGGAAGCTGGTCTTTGTCCTGCTCTCATCCTTTGTAGTAGGTCCCCCACCACACCACTGTACTGATATGAAGAGGAAAAATAATACAGGAAGGTGACAGTCATATTTTATATGGAATGCCTGTAAGATTGCCATCCAGGTGTTACAAGGTACAATTTGAATTGCATAGTCCTGGCAAGGTTTGGCAACTGGTTGGAAATGTTGATAATTCTTCACCAGTATCCCTGGCTGCTTTCCTGTTTTGTGGATGCACTCGTGTATGAGGTCTTGAGCTGGTTCTGGTTTGTTATTTTTAATGGTAAACAAGATATGATCCTGGTTTTCCTTGCTGGACTTTCCAAGTGTGACATGTTGTTTCTAAAGATATTGCATGCTGAGCACTCAGGATGTGGTTAAAGCCGTGTGTTTATACCTTCCAGTCTTTTCAAATGATTGCTAGTGAAGACAGAGCAATCTATTTCAAACCTAAGCAAAAGGATGAGTTATTACACTATTTCTTACATTTCAGTTCCTGATAGGTATTGGCAAGTTTATCCGTAATTTAGTTGATGAAAGGGTTGCTACCTAAAGTAGACAGAAGAAGTGATGCATGGAGTATTAAACAAAGCAGCTGTTCCCTGGGCTTTGTTCCGTCTGATATTATCAGCAGAAGGGAAGTAGACATTCATTATGAGGATGAAGCTATACAAGAATATAGACTGTTAGATAAACAAAGTATTTCTGAGTTCTAAAGTTCAATTTCTCTTATAAATTAAAAAAGGGGGGTGGTGTCAATAATCTAGGTATATGAAATTACTCAGTCAATAATCTTTACTTCTGGTAGATTCCATGCTCACATATTCAGTTCTTATGCACCAAACTATGACTTGTTTTCTTCCTATTGATGAACAAAGTGTCACTATGCCCTTTGCAGTCAATAGCATACTCAAAAATAATTGGTTTACTCATTTCAAATAAGATTTGTTAAGGAGAGCAAATTGTGAAAATTTGCCCCCATTTACTTGGTTGCATTTTGCTATTTTAAAAAAGTCGTTTTGATACCTCATCTAGGTATTGCCTAAACAATAGTTACCTCATCTAGGTATTGTCTAAACATTGGTATGTAGTGTTTTCCTTTGTGTGACACAGGTCTTTAACACAGAGGACTTACATGAACTGTTTCCCTTGAGAACATAGAAGGACTTTTAATTCAGTCTCGTATTCCTCCCTATCATCTCAGTCTACCTCTACTTTATAGGGGAAAAAAATTACAATAGTTATTTAAGAAGTGATAGAAAAAAATTCACTGGAGATTAAAAATAAAATACCCTTATGGAGTCTTAACCCCATTCACGGATTTTCGCAGGTAGAAAATGTGCTGTCCTCAAAGGTTTAGTGTTGACCACGTAAACCTTAATGAAAACAAGATAAACCCTCTTCATGGAAAGGCAGGCAGATAAGGTGAAGCTCTTCTCTTTTTCACCAGTTCTTCCTTTATCAAATGATATGTAAGTAATATGGAAATGGAAATGGACCAGAGATAGGCAGAGTAGGAGGAAGGAAGAAAGTGAGGGGAAAAGGCAGTTCCTTATTGCTACCAGCTTTAAAGTGATAATACTTTTCAAAGTAAGGTTGGTTTTTCTAAGTTCATTGTATTAGAACTTTAAGTTTGGTGGAATTAAGATGTTTAGATTCAGTTAATTTGGATGTATAGCTTATTGAGATGGCATTTGTTGTTTCTTCACTTTATCTTCAATAATTGACATTTAAGTATTGCTTCATTCTGGAGTTTTACAAAATTATTAAATTTGGTAATACCAGTAAGGGGGAAATTGGCAGTTAAGTTGAAAAATCATCAAAACACTTTTGTTGAATTAGAGTTTTCTTTTTAATTGTAGTAAAAGTGTTTGGAGAGATAGAAAAATAAAATGTAGCTGTTTAGGATAAAAATACATTTTAAAATGCATTTTAAATAATTATTTCTAGAAATAATTAGGCTCCAGTAAAAAGAAGAGATAATCACAATTGCAGTTAATGCTCTAATGGTATTCTGAATTTCCTCTGGCAAAGGACTAGAATATACATATACTTGCTATCATTTTAATAACTTTAAATAATAGTGAATTTATTTTTCTCAAAGAGCAGTCTCATCATTAAAAGAATAGTCTGTATCCTCTCTAAACTGTGGCTTTGATCTAACCACACCTGCTAATCAATTGGAAATATTCATTTATTTATTTGTTACCAAATTGAATTATTGTTTACACAAACCTCAGAGAATGA